ACGGCGTCGTGGCGACACGACGTCTCATCCTCCGGCTAGCAGGGACAATACCTGGCGGGCATAGGCAGCCGGCCAGTCGGCTACTTGTTTGAGGATTAAAAGAGCGCCGCTCCCCCATCAGCTCTGGACGCTGGTTCCTAGAGAACTGGGGTTCCAGGCGTGGGAGCGCTGCCCGGCTACACTTCTCAGCGACAGCATGGCGCCTACAGACGACGGTCATAACAACGCCGAGTGAGGCGGCCGTTTTGGTTCGCACGCTGCTCGTTGGCGCCATGCGAGCACGAAACGAAAAGAACGCGTCACCGCTGGTTGGGTATTATAAATCCTGAACACTAGAGATGTCCTAACTCACCTGCATTTATATATCTCTACGCATGAAATGTAAAAGAAATGACGCAGTCATGCAGTGTAGGTAAGTATCACCGGGCGGATGAGCTGAGCGGTACGCGAGTTGCTCCCCACTACAGTATTCCGTACAAATACATGTAGTCAAAACGTGCTGTCATGAGGAATGTAAGGTGGAACGTTGAATTCATATTTATTTACCAGTTAACTGTTTACAAGGCACTATGGCATTTAATACTTTCGCGGTGTGGTTGGGGCGTTGACGCCAAACTGCGGAGAAGTGTTGTAAAATATAATTTTTATTGACGATTCATGAGCTGTACACAAAAAAAACCACAAAAAACAGTGAGGGCATTTTAAACATGTTTATAGGCAAATTAATGGAACTAGTATCCACATACGAGGTACCTTGCTCGGATAATTCACGGTTTCTTAATATATGCTGCGTCATGGTGGATCATATTTGCCAGCAGTACTTTCCGCATTCAGCGAAACTGGTTTTGAATTTCGTGTCGGTGCATTCGAATGTTGTTCACCGAGAATGCTTACTCCCGGCGTTGAAGAAAAAAGCAGAACAATAAAAATTGTGCACATTACCGTGCAATAGTTTCCAGCTGCAAATTCATGTCCCAAGGAGGCGTGGTATTCTGCAATCTTATTGCATCGGTTTACTAACCACTCATCACATAGCAAAAAAAAAAAAAACGGAAGTCCTCCATCCCGGAAGAAACTACGCATACTGGTGTTATTCCGTGTACACGTACGTCGCACAGTCTGAGAGAACGTTCGAAATCAGACGATACGGGTTGAGTGTTGTGTTTTCCGCACCTTGGTTAAATTTGTTCCGCAGTGCACAAAAGGTCGTGGGCAAGAAAAAAAAATTTATCAGGGGCACGCGAATTGTTCTTCCAGTTGTCGTGTAAAAGATGCTAACCAAATTCCTCTTTCTGGCGTTCCCAACTATACATCGGCCAGAATGCTTGATGAGTCAACACGCCATTCTGAGAGCAATTAAATTCATTGAATTTCATCTTCGAAGGCACAGTACCTCCGCGCCGTGGTGGTCTAGTGGTTAAAATACTCGGCTGCTGACCCGTAGGTCGCGGGATCGAATCCCGGCTGCGGCGGCTGCATTTCCGATGGAGGCGGAAATGTTTTAGGCCCTTGTGCTCAGATTTTGGTGCACGTTAAAAAACCCCAGGTGGTGAAAATGTCCGGAGCCCTCCACTACGCCGTATCTCATAATCATATGGTGGTTTTGGGACGTTAAACCCCACATATCATCAACTTTATTAGTCGACTGTAAAAACATGTCATAGTTCTTTTGCTTTTCTGTGCCTCTGTGACATGCGCGAACCACCCCCATTTTTGTACATATCTTTTTAACCCGTTTTCTTAAACCTTTCAGGTGAGAGGGCGTTTGCGGTGCGTATATTTCGTTCCTTGTCCTGCTTCTTTCTTTTCGCCCCGTAAGTTTTATTTCAACCTGTCGTTACAGTGCCAAGGAAAGTTGGTACGTGCGTATCGTGCAGGTGCCGCGCACACGGTCTCGTGAGTGTACGTTGTTTTACAGAATAGCGGTTATTTCTAGCACACTCTTTTAATGGCAGAACCTCACAGTTTTCTGGTCAGCACTGTCGGTGGCCATTTGTTCTTAACGCATCCGTGAACGATGGACTCCTCCGGAACCTCTTAGACAACCAAACTGTTCTTTATTATTTTGCCGAAAGCGACGTTCAAGTATAATAATACAACTGAAGCCTGTGAACCACTGGGCTGGTTCAATAGCTGGTATAGGAGGAAATAGTAGACAGGCCTTTACAGCTAAACACCGATGGTAATGAGTGTTGCTCTGAATTCGGGAGCGCAGACCCGAAGGGAGCTTTGAAATGCTGCCGGCCGACACCAACATGGCCCCTCCCAAGCCTTTTCGCTGCGCAGACTGCAAGTTTTTAGGTGAGGTATTCTTTATTTATTTATCGTGAATACATTGAAAGGCTGACGACAAAAGCTGCATACAAGCAGCTTGACAGGTCCGTCAGCCCAATTCAAACGTCAGCAGCAGACGGCAGATATGCATGCTGTAGAAATGTACAGTAATAGACACAACACACCAAAGTATCGCAATTCTGTTGCGATAACAAAAATATGCAAGTAAAAAAATATATGCCCGCTAACAAGTTCCCTTTCCCGGGCCCCAGTTGTGTTATCGCCACGAAGGGGCCCCGATTTTCGGGGGCGCCGTGGACGTAACATCTTATGGTGAAGATGACTAACCTAGTGCAGTTATTGTATAGGTATGCGTATGGAGGCTTTTAATTTAATTGATTGATTGATATGTGGGGTTTAACGTCCCAAAACCACCATATTATTGTGAGAGACGCCGTAGTGGAGGGCTCCGGAGATTTCAACCACCTCGGGTTCTTTAATCTGCGCCCAAATCAGAGCACACGGGCCTACAACATTTCCGCCTCCATCGGAAATGCAGCCGCCGCAGCCGGGATGCAAACCCGCGACCTGCGGATCAGCAGCCGAGTACCTTAGCCACTAGACCAACGCAGCGGGGCGGCTTCGAATTTAAGAAACTCAATGCATTATACGACAGAAAAACAAGCGAAATATTAATCAGAACACACGCAATGCGCCCCCTATTCCAATAAATGACAGCCTCAATAGTACAGACTGAAGAATCACGCGACCATTCGGATACATTATCGGATAGAGCATCTGCACGCAGCTGCGATTCCTCAAGGAAAGACTCGGTAAAGTTCACAAGGCCGCACCTGTACAGGCGAACAAAGCCAAAGAGATTTACTCGCAGGGCACAAGGCGTCACTTTGAGCAAGTCACGGCGAGGATAGCTAATAGGTCGAGTTGCACCTTGAATCAATGCGCTGAAGGCATCACTGGTGTTGCATTATGGGCGCTTTCACAGAGTACTTTCCGTGAAGACAGGCATATGGGTTCGTGACTCAGGAGTGAAGATGATTGAAAGCAGAATATGTAACCTTTTCGCGAACATCGTGCGAATGGTATGCGCATTGTACAAGCGCGACACCCTCGCACCCTGATAACACTCTCATCAAGTGTGTGGCTCCCCCCGCTGCATCGCAGACTAAGTCATCAAGGACGCGCCCGTCATCCTCCAGCCTAATCTCAGCGATGCTCATTGGACAAGGTGGCGTGAAAACGAGTGTAGCCGAGTGCATCATCTTACATCGGAGGGCGCGGCAACCTTCCTTGTTGGTGTCAGTTTCCTATAAACACCAAACCAGCAAAACAAGCAGGGAAGCGTGTGTTGAGGTGATAAACTGCTATTGAGAGAGCGTGAGCTACTCAGAAAACCAAAATATTAACGCGCGTGTGTAAGAATATAAAGAAAAAAAGACTATCGTCTTTAAAAAATGAGTGATTCGCGCACACGCAACGTAGTCGGCGTCGTCGACGTGCAGCATACCACGGTGTCCGACGGCGGCGCCTCGCGGCCTAACCATCCCGGCGACGGCTAGTTTAGTTGACCAACGCACCTTTGCTGCGGTATTGCGGCTCACGCCTTGCTCACTTTTGGGCGCTGGTTCGCCTTCATTGCGCCGTCCTGTCTCTTTTTTTTCTTTGTGTTTTGCATCATATCGTTCGCCAGATCTGATTTACACGCTCGCTATCTATTCCTTCTGTTTCTTTGATTTTTTTCGTCTTGTTTACGCTATAGTACTCTATGCGCGGTAGCGCCAGACTCTATCGCTCTTTTCTTTGTTTGCCGTCAATTACCCATATACAGGGTGCCGGGACTGGTCCTGACAAGAAATGTGCGTGCGTCCGTGCACGATCAAGTAGTGGCGGTTTTCACCGCTTATACTCGTATGATGGCGGTAGCTGCTTGTTATTTTATTCTCACTGCCTGAATTGACCCTCCTGGCTTCGTATTCGCTTGGCTCGAGATGGCCAGCAAAATCAGCGTATGTTTACGCGTACCTCTTTGCTGCCCCTTCCCTACATTTTTCTTGTTAATTTTTCTGACACGTTCTCCTTCATGCTAACTACTTTTTAACACCGCACCTAAAAATTTTGTATCAGCATTACTGAATCATTTCTTTCTCTTCCCACGTGAAGGCTCGAGTCTGCTATATGCATGGGTTGGGACGACGCGAGATTGTTTCGTTGCTACAGTCGAGCCCGACTATATCGAACCCGTTTATATCAAATTATCCCGTTTGTCGAACAATTCCTGAACACGGTGAGTTTACATTGAGAATATATAGCAAAAGTTACTGTTTTATCGAACTAAAATAGCAACGACAACTGATATATCAAACTCCATGTGCCTCAAAAGTGCCCCAGCAAGTTGGCTTTCCCTCGCGGTGGCGGGGAAAACTGCCGGCGCCACCCTAGAAAAAGTTGGTTAGACCCGGTTTTGCGCGGGCGAACACCCCCTTCCAAGAAATGATCCTGGCCCACTAGCAGCGCTTACAGCCAATCAGAGGCCGTCGTGCTTTCTCCGAGGCGCGGAGGCGGTAGAAGTGAGCGCCATTTTTTCTTTCTTTATGCTTGTGTGCCTGCTGCTGCCGATTCAGCGTGGTCTGTGGTGTTGCCCGTTGGTGCTCTGTGAACTGTATTGGCGCGCTGTCATCATGGCTTGCGCAAAGAGGCAAAATTTGCCGTTCGCCGCGAAACATGAAATCATCAATCGGGTTGAGCGCGGGGAAAAGAAGTCCGACGTCGCCGCCGCGTACAAAATTCCAAAGAACACCTCGAGTACTATTTTGAAGAACAAGGCAGAGATTAGGGCCAAGTCGGAAAAAAGGCCAGGTACCCGTGGTGCCCGACGTGTGCGCGCTGCTGTGTACGAAGATGTTGAAGCGGCCGTTTACAAGTGGTTTGTGGACGTTCGTTCGCGAAACATCCCGGTGTCCGGTCCTATGATCGAGCAGAAAGCCAAGGACCTTGCTTTTCTGCTTGGCAGGAATGATTTCCAAGGCTGTTCAGGCTGGCTTCGGCGGTTCAAAAAACGGCATGACATCGTTGGCAAAGCTGTTACAGGTGAAAGCAGAGCGGCGGACCTGGACAGCGTAGAAAAATGGCTCGAGGAAAACTGGCGAGATATCGCAACAAGATATAGAGCCCAAGATATCATCAATGCAGATGAAACTGCTCTATTTTGGCAAATGTCGCCAAACAAGACACTTGCGTGTCGTGGCAACAAACAAGACTTGTGGCGGCAAGGCAAACAAAACTCGTGTATCCGTGCTGTTGGCAGCTAATTTAGATGGATCAAAAAAGCTTTGACCTCTGGTTATCGGGAAAGCACGGCACCACGGTGTTTTCGAAATGCGCTGTCGCTTCCAGTTACCTACCGAGCAAACTCAAAAGCGTGCATGGATGAGCGGGGAGATTTTCAGCAGATGGCTATGGTCGTGGAATGGTGATTTGGTAGGCGAAAATCGCAAGGTGTGCCTGCTCGTGGACAATTGTTCACCGCACCACTGCAGTACGACCTTCAGCAACATCGAGCTGCGTTTTTTGCACCTGAACACTATGTCCGTACTGAAACCACTGGATTAAGGCGTTATACGCGCTATGAAAGCCGGCTATCGGAAGCGCCTGGTGGAGAGCCTGCTGCAGAACCTTCATGTCGGCAGGGAGCTTAAGATCGACTTGCTCGGAGCTATTTCTATGTTGAGTAGATCGTGGGCAGATGTCAAGAAGGAGACGATCCGGAACTGCTTTCGGCATGCCGGCTTCCGCATGCCTGGTGATGACACCCCAAATTCTGACAGCACTGAAGACACGGCAGGTGTTTCCGCCGAAGTTTGGAACGAGCTGGCATAGTTCCCGGGTGCTATCGACGGATCGACATTCGTCGAGTTTGTCAGTGCGGACGATGATGCCCCATCATGAGCCAACTACAGGATGAGGATTACATTGCAGACGTCGTGCCGACCATGAGCCAAAGCGCCAGCAATATGAAAATCGACGACGGCCCCATTGCCTACATCCTCCGAAGTGATTAGTGCACTTGCGTTGGTCCAGCGGCTATTGCTTGAATGTGGATGGTTGCGGCCTCGGCTGCTCCGACTCGTTGGACAACGTTGAGGCGTGTGTGCTGTCGCGGGCAGTGAAGTCGTTAACACAGAAAAAAATCCGGGACTATTTTTTTCCGCAGTAGGGCACGCAAGTAAGCCACTATATTAATAAAGTACTTTTCTTCTAGTTTGTTATGTGCCTTTGTGTCAAAACCTATACCGGGCCTATATCGAATGATGCCATATATCGAACTAATAAACGTTTTTTGGCGAGTTCGATATACCCGGGTTCGACTGTACATCTCCTCAGTCACTGCCCGCGCATTCCCCAAGTCGCCCTTACAGATGACGCATAACTGCTCAATCACTGTCTCGCTCATTCATTGCTTCCGTCTTCTCTTTTTCTTTTTATTCCCTATATTCTCGTTTCACATGTCCCAGCTATTTTCCCATCACTCTTACCTTATTCAGGTCTCCGCTTTCACTGTTTCTTATTTCACACTCACATTATATATATATATATATATATATATATATATATATATATATATATATATATATATATGAGATATGGCACAACGGGAGCGTTGTCAACAAGGATAAATATATTTATTTCCCAACAGTTTCGGGAGGGGTCCTCCCTTCATCAGGGGATGAGTTATACTGACATGAGCTTCCAAACTTCGTTGCTGCCGCGTCCGTCTCGCCTTGAAAAATGTTTGCGAGAGTGAGAGGGAACTAGAAAAGGGAAAAAAAAACAAAAAAGGGGGAGAAAAAAGACGAAAAGGAAAAAGAAAGAAAAGAAAGAAAGTAAAAAAGAGGACGAACCACTGTCAACACTGAGAACGAAGCCAACTGTCCGTCTACGATTCGCTCGGAGGATTTCAAGCTGGACGGTTGTGCCCTCGCGATCTCCGACTTCAGCGTAGCTCCCGCCGACTGGTTCGCCCTCCGCGGTCTCCTGATGCCGTGCAGCTCTCGCATTGTGGCACCCCGCCCTTGGACTGCTTCGACCGGATCCCCACTTTCCTATCTCCTTCTTTTTTCCTCTCGTTGGCTGGCGGCTTCTTATCCGTCTATTTTCCTTCTATTCTTTTTATCCCTCCTTCCTTCTCCCTATATCTTTTATTCCCCATATCCCATTCCTCTGCTGACCTGTTGAGGTGTCCTCGTAAGGAGAGACAGTTACGGGTCGGCACCTTTCTTTTCTTTTCTTCTGATATAACCACAATCTCTCTCTCCGTCTACATCCACATACGGTTCATATCACGTGCTGTTCAGTTCTTGACGTGTGTCGGGCCACCCAAGATTGTCGCCGCGGTGCCGGGAGGGTCCGTGACGGCGTGCATAAAGAAAGGGGTTTCCCCGTAATGGGTTGGTCGGTGGGCGGCGTGCGTAAAGGAATGAATTCCCGTTAATGGGTCGGTCGGCTATTTACCTTTAATCTTCGTCCGTTTCCCTTCAATGGTTATCAAGTGGTAGGCGAAGGTAAACACTTTGTATGTGCATGTGGAAAAAAAAAAAGAAAGGACAGTGTACACGTACGAGTCAGTCAGAAAAAAGCATGGTCTCCAGCTATCAATCTTTGTCACCAATTTTCTCCTGGCTTACTTCTCGGAGGCAGTTGAGTTTTCCGGGGTCCTCGTTGATGCCGGCTACTACTGTACGAAATTTGAAAATAAAATATGCCTCACGCTGTTCGCGCTCGCGTCTGTTTGAGAAACCGGACTGCAAAAGAGTTAAGCTGTTATTTTCAAAACTGTGGTTTGGCAGGCGCAGATCATATATATATATATATATATATATATATATATATATATATATATATATATATATATATATTCAGGTCTCCGCTTTCGCTGTTTCTCATTTCACCATCACATTATACATACATATATATATATATATATATATATATATATATATATATATATATATATATATATATATATATATATATATATATATACTATATATATATATGATGTGTGTCTGAAAGAAATGCAATGATATGGCCGGAAATGCAGTCGAAAAAGGTGACAAACGACGTACACAATTTTCACTAACGTTTCGGCATGCGGACCTGCCTTCGTCAGAATAAATGATGAGAGGCCGCGCAGGGTGTCTGTGTGAACGGCTGGCTTTGGTATCATTAGAATGTGTTGCAAAGACAATGTATACATGGATGCAACGTAAACAAAATCCATCTCGCTCTACTGCACGACCTTCTCTTCTGTGTTCAACCGACGCCTGTGAAGAACGTTGCCAAGGCTGCGATGGTGCCCAACGACTAAGCGTCAAGACAAAATGAAAGGGGAATGAAATTGAAGGACTTTTCCCGTCATGGGATGCGTTACGAGCCACTTTCTACTTACTTCCTCGAGGACCACAAGCTCGAGAAAGACAACAAAAACCACGCGTGCTGATTGTAGGCACTTCAGTGCTTAAGCGGTGCAGCTGAGCAAGCAGCTCCTTCATGACCGCGACATAAGTTCATCAGTCATCGCACAGCGCTAGCATCAAGGAGATACCACGTCCAGCTCCATTATACTGAAAGGAGGAGGAGGAGAAAAACGGAAGGACAGGGAGGTTAGCCAGTTAATAGTTGGCTGCTCTGTGCTGGGGAAAGGGCTAAGGAAAATAATAGATGGTAGAAGAGATAAGTTATAAAAAGAAATGGAAAGGGAGAAACAACAGTAATACGTAAGTCGACACTGCTTAAAGTCTGTATTTGACATTAGTTGTCCGTAAAAAACGCAACAACGCTCTCGAAGCTTTCCGTGCCGAGGACGGTATCGGCCAGTGTCCAGGGAACTTCTCCTTCGACAATGGGCGATTGTCGATTGTCTCGAACACTTTCAACAGTTCGTATTCCTGGTGCATTGAAGCGAGCGCACAGATACAGAAGATGGGTGAATGTCTCCTCGCCACTACAGTTATTACATGACGGGCTACGGACCGAAAGATGGTCAATGTGCCAGTAGCCGTGACCTGCGTTACTCTGACATTACGAAAAATTTGCCGAGAATGGAGTTTTCACTAACCAGCAGGTTCGGTCCCTGCCAGTGGCGAATTATCTTTTCGTTCGCTTTTTTTTTTCTCCTCATTTACATTAGAGTTAGTTCTAATGAGATTCCCTACACTTTTCTTGGTATCACTGTCCGTTAGCTCTCATCAATATTGTGTCCTACACAGAAACCAAGTCCTTAAATTTACACTTTTTTTCCTTCCTTCGCGTTGCTGACATCATTGTGCCCTATTTACAAATTTTCGCAGGTGAATACTGTCAAAACCCCAAACGTGCGCATCCGACCCTTTAATTGAGGGTGAACAGCGAACAGTTTTTCATACCTTCGCCTTTACTGTGGGAGCAATATCTTTTGTTCTACCTGAGTTATTATTACAAAATTTTCTTATAATACTTGCATGAGAACATAATCTAAAATCGAGATTTTGCTTCAAGCATTAAGGAGGACATTTCTTTAGTCTCGTTCAGCAGCCCATAACTTTGTTTGGAAACAGCCTAAAGCAATACGTACATACATACATACATACATACATACATACATACATACATACATACATACATACATACATACATACATACATACATACATACATACATACATACATACATACATACATACATACTTACATACATACATACATACATACATACATACATACATACATACATACATACATACATACATACATACATACATACCTACATACATACATACATACGTACGTACGTACGTACATACATACATACATACATACATACATACATACATACATACATACATACATACATACATACATACATACATACATACATACATACGTACGTACATACATACATACATACATAGATACGTACATACATACATACAAAGAACCTTATTTGAACACCAGAGGGACTAGTGGAACGAGGTCCTGAAGCCCCCTCAACCAGTCGGCACCTCCACCCAGGTCGGCACAGCCAGGTGATAACCCTCCGCGATGTCCGGGCCCTCCGGACAGCCAGTAGTTGTAGACCCAAGTCCCGGCTGTGTAAGCTCCACCGCCACGAGTCTTCATCACATAAATCAGCGCCCACATTCGCAGGGCACTACGAGAGCATGAAATAATTTATACTTTGCAAGACGACTAAGGTTGCACGGTCGGCTTGTTAGTTATTCATGTTGTTCGA